TGTCGTCCCATTTGTGCGTCAGGACATTCATCAAGTTCATACCACTCGCGTCGGACATTTCGATCGCAGCTATTTTGCCCATGAACAGTGAGGGCATAAACGAAGATACCAGAGAGATTCGCGCAGTTGCTTCGTATCCTTTGGGATTTGTTTTACGAATCTACGAACAATTATCGGATAACCATTGAACAATTTCTTCGTCTGACTTACCTTCGCAATCTGAGGACCGGTGAACCGCTCATATGCGCGACTTCCAGTTAGATCTGCCATAGCCTGACTTCCACCAACTGCATTATCAAGTTCTTCGCACTCCGCTGTCGTCGAAGAGTCCTGCCAGATAGGTGACTGAGCGATCGAAAATGCATTCGGGCACAACTGGGATAATAAATTATTCTGCGCGTCCAGGTTGGAGAGAAGATTCTCGGCGTCGTTCGACCAGTAAACAGAGCCGTGTTGCTGAGTATATGCGTCAGAATATTTGAGTTGAGAACGAGTAATGTGCATCACACCTGTCCTGAGCCAGAAACCGCCATTATGCTGTCGAGTTCTACATCCTCCTTCTTCATGCGTTCAAGTAAGATGTCCATAGCTTCCACCCACATCGCAACTGGCGACGTGACCTCGCCCCTGCCCGCACCATGTATCGCACCGTTCTTCGTCTCATATTGGGGGAGGTCACGATCGAAGTTCACCGCCGTTTCGTGCACGACAGACCCATCTTCAGCGATGATCACCGCCTTCAACTGTTGCGTAGAAAGGTCTAATCCAAGGAAAAGGTTCTTCGACATCGTCAACGTCGTCGATGGCGAGACGATCGTTTCCCAACCCGTTCTCGCAGTTGGTTATCCATGGCGAAGTTTGCCAGCAATTGAGCACAGATTTCCACGGCGAAAGCTCCGTGTCGGAGTTAGCACATTGCTCGCTTAGCTTAGCTCCGTCCGATTGGCAGATTTTTCCTACTTGAATATATGCACATTTGTTTTCAGTTGTAATGCTTCACGAGAACACCGTTGATTATTTCTGTTTCCACTCCGTTCGTCTCGGCTTTTTTCAATTCACTCTGACCATATGCCGCTGTCCTACCTTTCCTCCATTGTTCCATCGTCGGGGCCTCGTCTTCAGGAGCTTTTCGTTCCCCTTCGTCCTGCAATATCTGACTTGAAGCTCCCAACGAACTTGGGGTCAACCGAACGTCATCATCTGTCATAGCAAAATAGAAAACGCCAAGTCGAGTGTATGATCGTTGGTCTTCAGGTGGCTGCACGACACGGTGAATAGTGCCTTTGTAAATACCACCCGTTAAGAATTCCATAGCGTCTCCAGCATTGATGACCTGGAGGTGATAAGTATGTAAATTTCAAATTTCAGAGCGAATCGATGCTAACCAGGGCATTAGGAATGTGGTTCACCCATCGCCATTGTTTGTCAGGGCAAAGAATCTGTAGGGCGGCGACGGGCTGGCTCCAGAGGATGGTAATCGTCCCAAAATCTTCTCAACTGTAAGCAAGATGAAACCTCATGCTCTCTTCGACACATACCAGTATGACCCTTCAGCCAAAGGCCGTTGGACTGCTTTTCATCTTCTTCGGAACGTGGATAACTATGAGAAGAAAATCAAAATTCATATTTTGCCGCGAGACCACCGTCACCGACTGACTATTTCATAAACCTGACTATATGCGCGTCATCGGAACGGATTCGCGATGAAAGGAAGTCTTAGGAGCTCACCATAGGTTTCTCCGACAGCATCGAAGCCATGAAGGCGAGAGAATGTCTCCTCAGGTAGGTCAATCCCAAGTGCCAGCAATCTTCAAATGAGGTGTTTACTTCCACTCGTTCTAGAGGCTAACAATGGGTCACTTACCTCAGAACCTCATGGAGGACATGCTCGTGATTGAATCTCGCAAACTCTCGAATCTCTGAAAGGAATGGCCTAAGTGCGCGGGGATGGCCTCTCAATGTGACATCCCTGTTGACTAAAATCTTACAGTCAGTAGGTACAATATCAAATCGACACCACACCTACGATTGTAGTTCTCCACTTGATCGCGGACCCCGTTGTCGACATGCTATCTAAACCGTAAGATAATTGACAACAATATGCAATTAGCCCACGCACCCAGTAACTTCGTGCTTTATACCCTTGGTACGAGCCCGTAATTTTCATTTGTCCAGCGTATTCAAGCTTCTCTTCTTCGCTCGTATGCGCGAAAGGGATGTCTGCTATGTCAAAGATACGAGAGGTCTATGTTCATAAACGTCGCGTTAACATTTAGTTTCTCTGCTACATGAAGTCGGATTAAACAACTCACCTGCTCCGGCTCGTACCCATGCCCAACAACGTAGAAAAATCCGTTAGTCCGCATTGCATCGCGCACTTGCAAGGCCAAAGAACGTCGTCCTTCCGGTGTATCTCCCTTCGACAGGTCGATGATCGCGAGGTCCGCATAGTCGACTGCGAAAAAGAAAATATCAAACTGATTACTAGGTCAAAGGACTTATACTTACGATCTGCCTGTGTTGGAGGAGCCGCGACATAATGTGGCACGAATGGCGCTGAAGGGACAGGCATAGTAGAGCGTACGAGAGACGGTGAGTAATATTAGAGAGGACACAGAGGAGCTCATATGACTTTTCTCGTGGGCATATTGACTGTGAGCACGCAATCAACTTGCACAGTTGACGCCAATCCACGCCCAAAAGACGGTCCGTCTTGTCCGTAATCATAACCTTCACATGCATGAATATTCTTCTCGATTATCCACTGGCGCACAAACATTTTCAGTTGTAATGCGTTACCACTAAACCTTTGATAAGCTCAGTTTCAACCGACGCGCCTTCTTCCTTCTTCAAAGCGGACGTCCCGTAAGCACTCGTCCGCGCCTTTCGCCACTCCTCCATCGTTGGTGCATCTTCGCCGGCGACCGCCTGGCCGACAAGTCGACTGGACGCACCCAACGAATTCGGGCTCAATCGTACATTGTCATCGGTCATCGCGAAGTAAAATACCCCAAGGCGGGCTCGGTTGCGTTGATCCTCTGGAGGCTGAACGACGCGATGGATGGTGGCTTTGTAGGCTCCGCCAGTCAGATACTCCATGGCATCGCCGATATTCACCACCTGCATATGCGAAAAAGATGATGAAATTACACCGCAACCGCAACAAAGGGCATCAATCGTACCAATGAATTTGGGATGTATTTGATCCAGCGCCATTTTTTGTCGGGGCACAACAATTGAAGCGCGGAGACGGGTTGATTCCAAAGAATTGTAATCGAACCCATATCTTATTCACAGGGTTGAACATTTTGTGTACACTCGCGAAGATAGCAGCGTCCATACCTGTGTGGCCCTTTAGCCAGAGGCCCCCAGACCGCTTCTCGTCCTCTTCAGCATGAGGGAAACTGTTGATTCGAATTACATGTAAGTTAAAGTCCAGCGGAAGTGTAAGACACGTACTATTTCATGAATCTGACTGAGCGATAAAGTCAATCAATCAACAGGAAATCATATTGAATTTTAAAACGAACTGTAAGATTCTCCGATGGTCTCGAAGCCATGCAATCGAACAAAGGTGTCCTCGGGGAGTTCGAGACCCAGCGCGAGCAACCTGAAGACATTTCAATATTAAATCTGACAGAGAAGGAAGGTGGATCCACCTCAAAATTTCATGAAGAACATTCAAATGATTGAACTTCGCGAATTCCGCTATCTCAGGGAGAAATGGACGCAATGGTTTCGGGTGTGTCCTCAAAGTTACATTTCTGTTCACTGCAATTTGTTCAGTACAAATCACTCAACGTCTCAACCGGCTTACTAGCGTAATTCTCGATCTCATCGTGAACGCCGTTGTCAATGTGCTGAGCACCAGCGTGATCAGTCTAGGTTTTGATGAACATCAAGAAACCATGCTCACCCAGTAATTCTTTGGTTTATAACCTTGAAATGAGCCCGTCTGTTTCATCTTGGCTACATATTCGCGCTTTTCATCTTCCGTCGTATGTGCGAAGGGGACATCGGCGATATCAAAGATACGCGCATTCTTCAGAGAGTATGTCAGTAAATCACGAGGAGAACTTTGTGGAGGAGCAATACTCACTTGCTCGGCCGAGTATCCATGTCCAATTACATAGAAGAACCCGATAGACCTCAGGGCGTCGCGGACCTGCGTTGCCAATGCGAGACGACCTTCTTCAGTCCCTGCCTTTGAGAGGTCGATAACGGCAAGATCTACGTAGTCCACTGGATGTCGAGTTATTTTTTTACACAAACTTCAGAGAGATTTTCACTGACGCTCGATCATTGTTGGGGTTGGCGCTAGATACGACGGCGCAAATGGAGTCGTCGCTGAAGGCATACTTGCACCAGTGTAATCACGATCGTTGGTCAGAGAAAGGGCATGGGTAGAGACGTCTGGCGAAGGGCGATATGTACCTCAGTACAATTATAATGTCAATGTAAGTTTACTTCTCACTGCCTGTCACCTGAGGACCGCATCTTGAAAACGCCGTGATCTCTACACGAGAAGGATCGCAGGAGCGTTACATGAACACTGCAACTATACTTGACAGTGATGGGTGCCGGGATATGAGGGAAACACTGGGAGCGATACGACAGCAAGGGGATGGTGGTGGTTTGGTGTCAAGGAGGACGCGGCGAATCCCGAAGCTTCTGCGCTTTGTGCAAGTCGCGTTAGACTTCTATACGGATTTTTCTACTTTCTTGTAAAGAGTTGATTGTGGTTGTGTCTTGTCTTCTCAAACTTCAATGGAACAAGTGGAAGCAAAAATCTTATGCTCTGTCGATTGACCCGGAATTGAACCCGGGCCAGGCTAGCTTGGCTTCAAGTTGGTTAAACATCCGTCGATTTCCATCTGACCCGCGGCAATTACCAATCAAACTAGGTGGAGAATAGGTGAATACTGCTTGTTCATCGCAAAAAATGAATGAAACGAGAGCGTTTAACACACTTGTAGGGTAAAAAAGACGAAGAAAAAAGCGGGCCTAACCGGGAATTGAACCCGGGACCTCCTCGAGGTTGCTTACGTAAGCATTTTACGTAAAACCCTAACAAGGAATCATACTACTAGACCATCAGGCCGTTGAGACTTGACGGACTATAAATATATATATCTTAGTTGTATGTTTATCGTTGGTCTGAATTCAAATATTGACTGGCTCTTGGACAAACTTTACAGTCTTTTTCTATGTCCTGCTTTTTGACCGTTCTTCTACGATGTCGCGAAAAACTCTTCGGAATCGATGTCAAAATTTCCAGTTGCTACCTTGCGCAGACGAACGGAATTTGTGTCCAAGGCGGTGAACATAACGTCAACGGACTCACAGCCAGGATGTCGATCCGAAAGACGCGATTCGTGGCCATGTAGCACTCCTCTCAAGGCACGATGGCCTCCCCACCCCCCTCCTGACTTACAACCATCATCCATCTTGAAGTCGAAGCAATAGCAAGACTGGGACAACGACATGGCGCCGAAGCCATTCCCAAAGTTGCGCGCATCGTTTGGACGGTTCAAGCGAGTGTTTCGCCGAGTCCGTGTCATTCCATGTCGTAAGACACCAGCGATAGAGACAGAGAATGACGATGATGTCTTCACGAAGAAGGAGGGGGAGGCGTTGCATGCGGAGAGAGTGATGGTGATCGCAGAGGATGTTGCTGTTCAGGTTGGAAGTGGTCAGCGCAAGGAGGGCACACGTCGTCATACACCCAGTTCCAAGGCATTCGACTTGCCGTTCGAGGTGGTTCTCGCGGTCTTCATGTTTCTCGACATCCCCGAGTTATTGAGAGTATCTCAGGTATGTACAAATCTCCTTGAAGTATGCTTGAGATCGTTGACTAAAAGCGACATAGGTGTCTCGATTCTTTAGAGACGTTGCGAACACCCAAACCATCTGGCATGCGACACTCAACACCTACCTGTCCGAATGCAAGACGCTCGTCCTCGACGACTTCGCACACCCCTCTTATTTACCCCTTCCAGAGCTGAAGATAGTCCTCGTCAGAAGTGAACATCTTCACCGCAACTGGAATCGCGAATCTCCCAAGCAGATCACATCGGACCTGCACCCCGTCAAACTAGACAAGCATGTCCCGGCCGTACAAGCAGGAGGTCCTTACTACATAGCAGACCAATTCATGATTTTACCCGAATCGAATGGGACCCTCGCATGCATAGACATCAAGAACGACCGCCTCGTCGGTAAATGTGAATTATCGGCGACGGCATTCCCACTCTTGTTCTCGCATACGGAAACAGCGTCGGTATTCGTCGTAGTGACCGACTATACCTCTTCCATGTAAGTTTTCTTCGTCGAACCTTGAAATGTACCGTGGGTTGACTCAAATATGCCAGGGTGAAGCTTACCGTCCGCCAAGCCAAGTTCCCTTCGGAATATCCGCAAGCAGGGACGAGCATACCAAACATGAGCTTCGATCTTATCCGCGAATACGACCTCTCGAGGAGATGGGGCATAATCACGAAGATCGTAGACGTCGACCGTCGACGCATATGCATGCTCTTTCTCCATCCCTGGCCTGAATCAGACACGATGAAACTCTTCGTGGTGCTCGACTGGAACGACGACAGTGCCGTATTCCTAGATTCCGGTCTTTCATATGTAAGTCATATATTATCACGCATATATGCGCAATATTTGATCGCGTGATACAGAAAAGCAGGCATACAGGCGCTGTTGTTCGCTTCTCCGACGACGGCGAAGAGCTCACCGTCTTCTCAGAGCGAGAAGATGGCATCTGGCGTCAAAACCACTACAAAGTCTCCGAGCTCAAGAAACTCTCCCAATCCCTCAGCAAAGGCACTGACCTCCCCTTCCACTCCCTCAAACCCTACGACAAAGCCACCTTCAGATTCGCCGACCCCTTCCCCAGCACCGGGCTGGGCATCTACTCGGACAACGTCACCATGTTCCAGTACTGGAACAGCACGTACGCGCAGTCGTGGCTCAAAGTCGCCGGTTTGCGCTCGCTCTTCTCCTACCTGTACCTCATGGTGGGCATCACCTCGTCGAACGTCAAGAAGTTCCGCGTCGCGCAGTTCTATGCGACTGAAACCGCACCGTGCCACTCCAAACGATTCGTATTCGATTTGGGGAACCCAGTGCGCGTTCCGTTCGAAGGCGACGAGTTGCCTCTCATGAGTCTGTCGTTCAACCACCTATGCTGGATCGACCAACTTCCGAAGGCCGATCTCGCACTCAAACTAGTAACATTCCCGGATCCATTCAAGAGGGACGATATCAAATATGATATTCGCGTACTCGACGCACCTATCAACGTTTTGAGGAACGCTGCGCATGTTTTCATGGTTCCTTCCTTGGGATCGATTATGATTCTCACAAAAGCACAACATCTGTACAGATTCCAGTACGCATAGAATCATACTTTGTTGTATTATACCATTGTTGTAAAACAGACATTGTAACATCACCCAGACATTGCTGTATGTAGCGGAAGCCCAACATGTTGTCTTTATAGTGCACAAATGTATTCTTATTTTTTGCAAGACGCACAAAGTATTGTTGACATTGTTTCTATCAGTCCGTTAGACAGTAATCTGCGAGGATGCTCTGGACAATCGTGGAGTTGGATGTATCATGCAGCTCTAGAACGAGGATAACAAGGGGAAAAAAGATATGCGATCAAGAAAGATGGAAACTACCAACGCCTTCTTTCATGGCGGTTTCGAGTCTCTCGGTAAGGATGGTCTTCGAGCTGTACTGTGGAACCTTTAGGAAGTTCAAGCATGTCATGACACTCGGAAGGTAGTCGTCCGCAGTCAAAGGAGCTTCGTGGTGCTTCCGAACGACGGTCAACGGAGGTACCAACCCACGGAAACCTAAAGAAATTGTCACGATTAGGTTGACATACAAACTGCAAAATCCGCACCTCCTATAGGCAATTTCGGACTACCCGTGCAGAACTGTAAGAAGCTTCTGCGAGCCGGTTTGTCGAAATCCGACATGATCCCAATGAGATCGCGGAATGACTGGCTTTCGATGCTGAAGCCGTGATCCGCTTTGATGCACTCGAATAACGCTACACCCAACATGAGTCAGGTTGCAAAGATGTTCAAAGGAAGGAAACCCACTTTCTGTGCTCCAGTCTTCTTCGCCGCTGCCAAATAGCATCGCAAGCTCGTCTGCTGAGAATGCTTGCAGATCGTTAACGGGGAAGACTTTCGAGAAACCTTCCCGGAAGGCCTTTGCCTGTTTCTCGATTCCTTTGCCCATAGCCATATCGAGGACCTCCTGGATATACTCATGTACATTTTCCGACGTCACAGGGATATCTTTACCACCGGGCTGCAAACTCTGTCGGTGAACATGCAAAAAAGAGAGATCGTCAGACACTCACTCGTATCTCGATGTCATACCCAGGAAGCGTAAAGTCCAACATGAGATCCTCTACGTTCGTGAGTTCCTGCCCATCCTAAAAGTCGATATAAAAATATGATTTGGGCGGACCGATGAACCAATCTACCTTGTGTCCACTTTTACCAGATAGTGCAATATTCTGTACGCTCAATAGCGAGCTCGCCAAGACCGGGTCGACATGCTGCCAAATGTTTAGGGAGAAGATCGCGAATGAAGTAATCGACGGCTTACTCGGAGATTTGCAATCGTGAGAGGGACATTTTCGGATAGAACATACTTGAGGAAAATGCGGTTGAAGGACAAGTCAATAATTCTGGAATCAAGCATCGCTTTCGCAATGAACTGGCCGATTATCTTGAAAACGTTAATTCGCTTGGATGCATCCTCCGTATCGTCGCTGATCGGAGCGGGGAAGAGACCTTGTGGATGATGGACATAAGGACCGGGAACCATAGAATCGGTGTCCCTCCAAATCTTAAGATCTCGCCTCGCAAACTCTCTTGATACCAGCGAATAGAATTCCAGCGTCGGACCTAAGCCTGTTCCCACCTCGTCGAAGTATTCAACTTCGAGGATTGAAGACGACGACCCATAAAGCTCAAAGACCTTGAAGGCCGATTCCAGAATGTGCTTTCGTGAAATGCGGACCTTCTGTCTCTGGAGCCTCCCAAGGAAACCAAATGTCTCGTCGCGGCGAGAGCTTTCTTGTGAGCGATTGTGGTGACTTTGCCACTTGAGAATAAGCCGAGCATATCCGAATGAAGTAGATTGAAGGAATGAGAAACGGGTGGAATACGGGAAAAGGAAGGGGAAATGTAAGGGTAAGTCCATCGCCCAGTCAGGAAGACAGGAACTTCAATGGCGTTAACACCAAAACAACCTTTGCAGTTCATGGAAACTCATACCTTGCAACTATCAACGGTTCTTCTAGCTGCCTTGTCAGTTTAGCTGTCAGTTTGTTGTTGATAAATGCAGTCTCCGGAAGTATCTGAGCATTTTCAACCCCTTCATCTTCAATCTGACTGTTCAAAGTGTGGAGCACGCGAAGTAACTTGAGGATCTTTGTGTGGGCAGCATCATCTGCAAGTGACGACAATACCGGAATTGGCGAACGAGCTCGAGAAGGCGCCTCAACGGCATCTTGGCGACCTTCGAGAGGATATCAGTCGTGGTAAGGAGGACATAGTTTTTTGACCATACCTTCAGGGGATTTAGCAGCGCTAACCTTCTTATACTTCACAGTATACACGCCAGACCAAATTGCACCGGAAGGTGCAGTCGGTCCTCCGGCCTTCCGTGCTTCATGTTGATGGACCGCTCCGTATATGGTCATGTCCAAAGGTAACGGATGATCGTCCATCGAAAATTCAAGAGACCAGTCGTTTGCTTTATTTTTCAAAGCAGCCGCGTACGATGCCTTTCCGGCAGCTCCGCTAGACGGTCCCGCGGAGGTTGATTCTCTTGCAGGTGCTGGTGTTGCAACGCGTGTGCCATCAGGAGTTTGTGCCTCCACCTTCGAACCATCTTTCATGAACGAGTAAGTAGACATTTTTGGTGAAGTGAACAACATGATTACCGTCCGCGACAGAAAGCGAAACAGTCTTTTCCGTTTCGCCCTCGTCGTGTTCCATCTCCTCATCAAAGACCTTCGGAGAGCCCGCGAAATAAGCACAGGAAAATAAACACTCA